GATTTATTGAATAGTTTTGCCATGGCTGGTGAAATGATATCCGATAGGGACTTGAGTATCCGTGGGTGGAGTCCGTCTGGTTAGGAGGCTTTGCATCACCGAGGTTGACAAGTAGCAGATACCATTCGCCTGCATCCCAATGTAGGCTGTCGAACAAGACTGGTGCAGTCTATGGCGGTACTAGGACAGCCGCCGATTTACTGGAAAATACGGTGAGGAAGTGTGAAGCCAAGGCCTCCGCGTGCTTCGCGCTTGAAATGAGCGTCTGTCTGTTCAAGATCTCTAAGACCGGTAGGTAGCCCGCATGTTTCAGCTGACGTTTCAAGTAGGCATATATTCTCTTGGGGGAGGTCGTGGCGGAGGCTGCTAGCTCCTCCTCGAACTGCCCGTGTTCCTTGATTTTTGCGGCGTTACATAAGTTATGCTGTTTCTTGTACATCATGTAACCTTCATCACAACCCGAGATGATGTAGGTATGTCAAAGTTTGCAACGTTGTCGCGCTAACTGTTTATATATATCCATCAAAACAATGCGGCATGACAGGCATGACTTTTAAATACTTCAGGGGAACGAACAGAGTACACATCGAATTAAGCTTCCCCTTCATTAATGATCAACGGGCCTCAATCAATCTACCTTGCGGTTTGGACGATCCCGTCGAATTCCGTCTTCCAATAGTTGAATGTCGGCCTCCGTTGTTTGTAACACGGCAACGGCGGTTCTATGCTTGCCACAATGAAGCTGCGGTCAATTTTCGCCAGTGGTTCAAGGACTCTGACCTATTTCAGATTCTGCTCGCAGTCCAGACAAGATGCCGAGTGCGGAGTTATGCGCGTCGGTTGGACGCCATGTTGCGTTGGCCCGGAGTTCAATAGTCATTTCAGCGAATTGAGCCTAAACGTCGCCATGACCGGGAAGAAGCCAAACGTCTGGCCAGTAAATTTAGGTCCTCCATCAGTAAAAATTGAGGACGGCTCATGGGTTTCTGTACATGTAATAGCCAATCACAACAACGGTTTAATGGGCTAGGATAGACAACACTCACTATTAGTTCTGCGCGTTTGAGGCAGAATGAGCACCACAGTTGCTCGCATAATTTATCCTCGCCCCGATAGGTGCTGATAACTTTGCCAGATAGTGGCGATTTGATGTGCAACAGAACACCACCGTGAGCTTTTGATTTTCGTTCGCAATGGAAAAAAGAGTATCCTGACAAGGCGACTTCTTGGGGTATGATGTCGGAGTTCAACCAAGTCTCTGCAAGTCCTAAGACATCCGACCGCTCCGACATAGTGAAGCGGCACAGTTCGTCACGTTTGTTCAATAGGCTGCACACGTTGGCGAATGCCACACGGAGGTACTGGGAGGTACTGTGGGACGTGCCTGAAGCTTGAGCAACCGGTTGATACGGCTTCGTACACCCTACTTGATAACCCGAAAATTTACCATGTTCAAGTCAGTCTCACCTTCTTCTGTACGGCGTTCGAGCTCAAGGACCGCAGTCTTCAAACGATCCTTGTCTTTGGGTTCCAAGTCACGGTGGATGTGAAGCTTTATGTCTTTTACTCTTGACAGACGTGACAGTGTGAGCTGCGGAATATTGTGATTTGCAAAGGTGATTCTCAGAAGTCGACAAGGCCGATTAGTCTTCTGGCCAAGTCAGACAACCTGTTTACTCGTCACACTGTCTTCACCCACATCCAAGAGTCTATCGATGATAACCCGGAGAAATTCAACATCGTGATCATAACGTATCTGAGGGTTTTCATCTTTTATCTTTGGTGCGCCGAAGGCTATGAGATGATGACAGCGAAATAGGTGATGAACCCGTGGGAACAGGACCAGAAGTGTTTATCGGTTTGGATTGTTGTTTACCGGCAGCGGGCGCCTGAACTCGGCTACGCGGCCCCTTGCGCTTTAGTGGTATACAGGTCATCGGTATTCAGAGATTCACAGATAAGTTCTGAGAAATTCATGGACCGATCAGTGAAGCGGCATTTCGGATGTTCCGAGTCTGAGTCTTCAATTAGTGGGGAACATAGAACCTGAGAAGCGGCCGGGTTCGAAGGCGCTAGTGGTGGGGCAGATCGCACTGTGGCAGGGGAAGGCGAGTTGTAAGAGGTGTTTTACCCAGGGGGTTTGACCTCACGAGGTGAACGGTGGGTTTCCGCCTCTGAGAGATTTTCCTGCAGTAGGTGTAGGTCACTGTGTATTTCGCTGTCTCCAATCGCGAAATTTATCACACATATAACCCGGAAAAACTGATATCGGATGTCGAAAAACTTTTGAAAGACGTCAACAGATAAGCCAATGCACGAAATATGGAACAAAACATCGCAGCTGAAGCACCAAAGTGCATTAGCCTTATGTCCAACAACTTCCGCACACGAACCACAAATAACTTGAGACGCCATCACAGAGCAGAACAAATCTAAAATGGAGGACAAAAACGACAGTTGGGTCAATCAATGAGATCTCCGGAAGTAGCCAGAGAATATCCACCGAATATGCACAGATTGAAAACCACACAAAATAAAAAGATACAGGTGTACTAATCACACAGAAAAGCACGTATAACACGGTAATCCGAAGCAAAATTAGAATCCAGCGCACGATGATTCAAAAATCTGCGGCGTCCGGGGGTTCAGCTAGGAAGCTTTTTACATTGACTTCAGTAAGGCTTCTTACAAAGTGAATCATGAAGTGCTCTTCGACAGGCTGAAGGTGTGAGGTGTTGGCGGCTCGCTGCATCGATGGATCAAGAATTTCCTTGTTAGTCGAAAGTGGCGGGTCCATGTGGAAAACCATTTCACCGTCTGGTATCCATCGAGCAGTGGTGTGCCCCAAGGCACTGTACTGGGGCCGATTTTGTTTCTGATCCATATAAACGATGTGTCTCAGCTACTCCGTTCACCTCTTACGTTGTTTGCAGACGACTTGAAGGTGTGGAGACTAATCCGCGCACCCAGTGACTGTGACCTGCTTCAGCAGGACCTCAACCACCTCTCCATGTGGTCTGTAGAGGTCAACCTTCCGACCAACCTGGTCAAGTATCAATTCATGAGGCTGGGTAAGTGTGAGCACAGTCGAACGTACACTGTGGCCGATCAACCGATGCATCCTGTGCCTTCCGTGCAAGACCTCACTGTACTCTCACGCTACGACCTAAACTCCATGGACAATACGAATACGGGCAAGGCTGATCTTCAGCAAAACAAAGATGCCCATTCCATTAATATGAATCAATATCAGAAATCAGTTCAGGGTGAAGAATTCTTTTCGGTAATCTCTCATCCGACCCAAACGTTTACAAAACACTGATAGTGTGGGGTAACCGTAAACTCGGGCTGGGATTTACTTCTGGACTGTTTGAATGATCAAAATCGATAACCTGAGGCAGAGATAGAGATGGTGAACCAGGTAAACTAAATACACATGCATACGCAAAGCTCAGTAGTCCAAAGTAATTAAGTAGGTAAGCTAACAGCCAAATAACTAAGTAACAGTGTCCGTTGGTCAAGGTAGTAGTATCGGCCGTATGAATCGTTTTGGTACACATAATTCCGGATTCAGATGGTGAATGTAGATAGCCTCGGCGATGGATAAGAGCTGTTTGCGGAATCCTTGGGTGTAGTGTTCAGGTAGTGAATAAATGACTTTGAAGTCATTCTCTGAAGCTGTATGGCCACACTCAAAGAGGGGCGACATAACTGAGCTGTCTGAAGACCTCATTTCACCTTTGTAAAACCATGCCGGGATGGGTTCACGAATCCTCTGAGATAGGCGCCTCGTCGTGCGACCCACGTATCGTACACCACAGGAGCACGAGTACTGATAAACGATCATTGAACGGGTCAACGACGGTAGTCTATCCTTCAAGGGTTTCGTAAGCAACGGCTTATTGTGAAAAACGATTCTCAGGCGGGCCGCGAAATAAGTTTTCTCGACAGCGTCCTTCAATCGTCTGGATAACATATCAGCTGCAGAACCGCCCTAAACGGCATTCGTATGCTTTGTCCGCTCAGGCGCAGCTTCAGCGCTTGGTTCGAAAACATTGCCACTCGCCTCTTCGTCTCAATAATACGACTAACGCTATAGTATGGCTCTCCCGCGTATTGTCCTATCACCCGGAGCAAGGTAGAAAAGATTGAGCGATTAAAGCATGTGGCCATTAGGCTGGTTCCCAATTTACGAGGTCTGCCGTACGAAGACCGGTGTAAGAAACTAGGGCTTTGAACCCTAGCTTATCGACAACTGCGGGTTGACGGCATCATGACGCACCGGATAGTACATCTCGGTGAATACTCCATGCCGAGGCCGCTGCTGCATCCACGCACACCAAGCAGCACATGAGGACACCGGTACAAGCTTGTAGTATCGGAGATGAAGTGGGTCGCTCACCAACTCTGTTTCGAATGTACAGTAGTGAAGGTATGGAACAACCAGCCGTAGCATATAGTTTAGGCAAAGTCGGTACCGGAATTTAGGAAATTCCTGGACAAACATTACCTATATGAAATATATCGAGCGCACTCCATTATAATGGGCCTTTGTACCTGAGTCATATTAGATGCGGCTACACAGAGATATCTTGCTGTTTCCAACCAGTAATGAATAGTAATTCAGCTGAAAGTAACAAAAGGTGAAAGATGCACAGTATCTTGACACACCTTTTTAAAGAAAAATCGACAGTTAGACACTCACAGTGACCCTGGTAACGACATAGCCAGAGTAGTTAACAAAATATTTCTAAAGTTGATATACGTGTAGCAGATATGGCAAAACGGTGTTTCAGCGAAAAGAGAAGCGACCAATTTGAAGGCACTGCCTTGGCTGAGTTGAGCGTTCATACATCACGACAACCGCACTAAATTTACATACATTAAAGCTACGCTAGGAAAGGTTATAATACATATAGTCTGGTGGCAATCCAGTCATTTCATGAGACGCGTGGGCGCTGGGAGACATGATTACCAGAGAATTAAAACCATGGGCTTACCATGATTGCTCTGCGCAGTGCCTGCCTTGCAAAAGGGTCGACAACTTGATCCAGTTCGGGTGAGTATGGAGCCAGTTGGAGCAGAAGATGGCCAGTAACACGTCGCTTGAGAAACAATATCACAAATCGGCCAAGGCCGAAAACCGTGAGCCAATAGGCAACCTGGAAGCGGTTCCATTCCGACAAGGGCTGTAAGATATAAGTAAGACGAATGACCGAACGAGTTGAAATATGTCGTTGTGGCATGTTTTTGTCTTAAAAGCTAACAGCTGGGCCCAAGGTAGGTGGAGGAGACAATGCGCGTGGTATCACAATGCACAGCTACCGAGTGCCCAGAAGCCTCACCTCGAGGAAGCACGGATGTGAGTGATCCTGCAGATAGGCAACAATGAAACACAGCGACGATCACATTTGAGTTGTATCTTTCGGATGCATTATGAAAGGAAATCTGGTCATAGTTGAGTGGGATGTCTGTTTACCACAGATAATAAGATCTATCTCTATGTGCCGATTAATAATGTGAAAATTCCGATACTGATTACACGATCAGGGGGAGTCAAAGGGACTGCGAAAGTTCCGTCGAGTGTCTGAGGGATCTCTTGAGATTAGTATCACCATCATCATCATCATCATCATAACTATTATCATTACTGCTGCAGTACCGCTGGGACTAGTTGAGAACTCGTGATTTTTTACAAAACCTGTAAGTAGAAATGAAAGAAGAGGGATCGGCAGTATACCAAACCATCACACCAACGTATTTACCAATGGATGCATGCTGGCTTGGGTGTTTCGAGGTGGCCCGTACTGACGCTATCCCGAAGTAAGGAGTTGTGGACTACAAATCGAACGCGTAAACCAATCTATAGAAGAACCACGCTTCATTTTTGACCTAAAAACCTTATCGGGTCAACTGAATCAGTGGATCATAGGTGTAGCTAATCTTAGTGTTGGAAGTGATGGAAGATTTTTCGCATTAGCCTGTAAATGAGCTAGCCTACCAGATGGCCGAGAAAGCACCAGACGGTCGTTTCCAGCAATCGGGACAAGTCAGTTGTGCGCATCCCTGGGCTCCATCAAAATCCGAACGCGTGAACACTAGAGACGTGCATCACTAGGCAGCAGCCATTATGCCATGGAGGACGACAGCGGAGCGCTTTTAAGTACGAGCTAACTACGGTATAGCAAAACTAATCCTCCCTCTAATGATTACGTCATAAATTATTCTGCTCAAGAGTATAGGGTAGAGTATGGTAGGACGCGCATATATTTTTCCATTGCGACCCATATTCCACTACAGATCGCAGGCTCGACAGTTTCGTATTCGCCTCCCCTACTTCATACATAAAAAGTAGCTACCGAATGCCCTTCTTACTGGTTAATTGACCTGGTGACATATTGTACGTACTTTGTCACCTATTTTTGGCGCGTCAATTAAGCGTATATGAATCTGAAGTGGTATAACAAAAGCTTCGTTAGTATATTCTACACATTTGCATTTAGTTATAGAGGGGATGAGCCCGTGTCATATTCTTCTAGCACATAGCAGGCAATAAAATTAATTACTTTGAGTTGCACCCATTGTGGGTAAGACGCCCGTGGACGATCTACCCGTAAGTGTTTTATTTATATCTTTTTATGCTCTACGTCTTAGTAACAATTTGTTTTAATTACAGTCATTACAGAATGACTCGAGAGCATGTGCGAAAAAGTAAGATATGAGAATATGGGGCATAAAAGCCGCAGTTAGCACTGGGGGAGTTGAAAAATGGTATTGCATTGAAAAATACTTCTAGAAAGTTTAACATTGAGCGATAAAGTGTAACGCGACACGGAGACAATAAAGCAATCGTATTTTCCATTGTTCTTTTCTCCTTTTCGGGTCCTTACACCTAGGTATGTATATTTGGGCCGCTACAGAACAGAACTTCAGCTGAATGTGGAAGATGCACTTAGTCAAAAGATAAAAACGATGGAAGCATTGCTATTTGGATTGAAGAAAATAGACGTTCGATGTCTGGCATATGATCTCGCAGAAAAGATGAACCGACCTCATCGATTCAACAAAATATGCAGGCTGAAGTTGGCTAGAGGGATTTATAATACGAAACCTTTCTATTTCACTTAGAAATCCTGAAGCAATCAGACTTACTCGTACAAATGGATTCAACAAGGCAAAAGTATGCAGATTTTACGACTGTTTGTGTTCTGTGTTGAAATCTCCCTCATCTACAGGGAGTATGATATGGAAAATGGATGAAACTGGTTTTTCGTGTGTTCAAAAGACAACAAAAGCTTGGGCTCAGAAATGAAAGCGCACCACAGTAAAAATGATGTTCTGAAAGGGGGAAATGTGAGCGGCATTTTTGCATGTAATGCGATGGGGACATACATACATACTCGAGGAAACGGTGGGATTCCAATCTGTTGAAGACAGCACCTGCCGAATCAATTGGCACTTGGTCGGATAATGGATGGTCCGATGCTGAGCAATGCATAAAACGGCTCAAACATTTCAGTGCTAACGTTAAACCTTCGATGGGAGAAGCTGTTTAGTTAATACTTTATGGCCACCAAAGTCAAAAGACTCTTGCTGCTGTAGAACTGGCGTCAGCTAGCCATGCTGACTTGGCCACCAGGTTGCACACATCGCCTCTAGACTGACGACCGTACGCTTTTCAAGCCCTCGAAGTCGGCATTCAATAGATTTGCTGAGCAATGGATGCTAAATCATCCTCCTCAACGAATTTCGCGTTTTGATCTGGCCTCAATAGTTGGACAACCTTTCAACAAATCAGCAGGCGTTGCTACTACTGCAAAAGGCTTTGAGTGCAGTGGGATTTGACCATGTAATGTCTTTGTATTTAACCAGAATAGTCTTGTTGCTGCCCAGTTTAAAGAGCCACAGAATATTTGCGCCGATCAAGTCATCCTTGTCCCTTGCCTTCAACTACATTCCAAGTGAACTCCGCATCAGCAGATGCTTCTACTGAACGTAATACAGTCCAACGTGCTATGATGACCACCTGTCTATGGCGACCAGCCGAAAACATCCCCAAGGTTTTCTCCTATGAGTAACGTCCCTATGCATGAACCTGTCCATGGCGACTACTTGTATAAGGCGACCAGTTTTGTTGGTCCCTTGAGTGGTCGCCTTAGACTTGTTTGACTGTATTATCATTCCAACTTCAGTATCTATAGATCATGACCATAAGCACTCATCTTCAGCCATGATCACTTCTGCCTACGGCAAGTCTGCTCCTTCAACCACAGTTGACGTTCAAAACCTCCAGTCTTCCGGTAATACCACGCCATCATTGTTGGCTGAAATTCAGGTCATTGAAGATTTGTGTGCGACTCCGAAAGTAGCCATCCCAAACAAGCAGAAAAATGCCGCAAAGATGAAGATGCCGAAGTAATAGCAGCGTAAGCATTTATAAGTTCACCACAACAAAAGGCATAGCAGCAGAAAGAAGGTAAGAAGGCCAGTAAAATGCACAAGTCAAAAGCATCCTCTTCACTATACGGGTCCATGACCCTGCATAGTCTGCGGGGAAGAATTTGTTCGCAGTCGTCCTTGTGAAAAGTGGGTCGCCTGCGTTGTGTTAAATGTACGCCCACGAGGGTTGCACTACAGAAATTTTTAAAGTCTAGGCCACATCTTCACCTGGCGTCAGTTTTTGAAGCAGCGTCACATATATTGGCGGCCCACCATTGTCGTGTTCCTCGATATCAAAGGTGCATTCGATTCGGTGGATAGACTTGCACTTTGGGACTGTCTACTCAGGAAAGGTGTACCTGAAAATATGTAAATATTATCCGAACATTATATGCGCGTAGCTCCGGCAGAGTGAGGGCTTACGGCAAGTTGTCGTCACCATTTAATATCTCCAGCGGTGTGAGAGAAGAATGCCCGCTGTCACCTTTCCTCTTCAACTTCGCTGTTGACGAAGTCATGGAAATCGCGTTCACAGGACACGACTTTGAAGGTGTGGATCTGCTCCCAGGAGAACGACTTCTTGACTTAGAGTATGCTGATGATATTGCCCTAATCTGTGACCATTCCCAAACGTGTCAAGCGTCACTGGACTGATTAGCACTAGCTGTCCGTCACTTCGGGCTTTGCTTCGCACCCTCGAAGTGCAAAGCGTTCCTTCAAGTTTGGTCTAGACCGCCTCCTTCACCGACCATTGGTGGGGATCAGCTAGAAGTCGTACAAAAATTCAACTACCTAGGAAGTTGTATCAACGTCCGTGGGATTGAAGATGAGATCACGAACCGTATATCAAAAGCTCGAAGTGATGTTGCTAGTCTTCGCCACCTATGGCGGCGGCGCGACATCAGCCTTGCCCTGAAGGGTAGAGGGTACAATGCAGCGGTACGTTCGACCCTACTGTACGGTGGCGAAACCAGGTCCCTTAAAGCAGCGGATATAAAGAGGCTGGTTACGCTCGACAATCGGTGCCTTTGCAGTTTGGCTGGTATCTGGTGCGAACACCGCGTGAGCAACGAGCGTGTTCGACGCCTTGTTTACGGCACGGTAAACGGAACTGAACCGCTCAGCACCGTCATTTCACGCACCAGGCTCCGATGGCTGGGCCACGTATTACGCATGCCAGCCCACCGACTCCCGCGAAGTGTATTGTTTGCGCGCCGGGGGTGTGGATGGAAGAAGAGGAAGGGTGGCCAAGCGATGGCTTGGTCGAGAGGAATGAAGGCCCTCACTTCGGAGTTGGCCTCGGTTGGTTTCACGGCTCCCTGGTTGGGGTCCAAAAGACGATGAACACGTTTGGCTGGATACGCTTGCTGACATGGCTAGGAGCCGACCTCAGTGGCGTTCCTGTTGTGAGTTTCTTTGTCCTTCCCCATCCCTTTTAGCCTCCCCCTCCAACCACGATCTCATTATTTAGCTTTATATAATTTGCATAGTAATTTGTTTTTTGATGCACAGCAGCCGGCTGGTAGCTTACCGAAACGATGCCCATCCGTTACAGATAGATCAGCCGGCTTGCACCAGTTGCCTTTTTCTCCTTTATGCTATGTATTGCGGCGCAGTAGTTGAGGTGTTCCCCACCTCTAACTAACGTGTATGAGGATGATGATGATGATGATGAAAGTCTAGGCGTGCTACATTTGTGAATCACACGGTGATTATTAAATCTTTGGTTTTAATTAACGCATCTAAGCATTCCCAAACTACAACTTTGGTGCCTACCAATTTTAAAGTCTCTGCATTATATTGTTAAGTGACGAACTGTCTATCTCCTTGTGTATATGCCATGACTAGTACAGTATGTTATAGTCCTATCTTTAATAGTTTTTTGCATACATGTGTGTGCATTCTTAAGCAGTTAGGGGTGGGGTGGAGTAAGATGATCAGAGGTGGGCGTTCGACTTATTTTTAGATAAATCGCTGCAACCGCTACAGATATTGCTCACAGTGAATAAGTATGGTAAACTAACGGTCTGCCAGGCAGAGCAAGATATGGATTTCACAAATCTTGCAAATGATGCCAGTTATTTGCGTCTTACACCCATTCCCTATCCCATTATGTTGTGTATAACTGCAAGAGTAATTCAAAGTTGCGCCAAGAAAAAACATGGCAAGACAAATAAACAGTGACTACCATGGAGTCATAAGCTACAGACGCAGTCAGCTTGAATTTGTGATGATTAGTCATTCGGAGGCGATCAACGCTTTCCGAGTTGCTGAGCCCACGTCGTCGTCATGTATCGTGTGACAGATGCGCACCAGGCTTGTCCGTCTCCCATTCCCAGTTTTTTAACAGTGCATTAAAAAGGGAACCTTCCCAAGACGTGGGGAAATATAAAAATAACGGAGGTGTAAGTCAGTAGATATTTGTCGTTGCAGAGTGAAGTGTGACCTCAAAAAGAACAGCCAATATATGGGGCGTATTTAGCTGTATCAAGTCCAGTTCCTCGATTTGGATTCGTCCGCCAAACGCATCGGTTTAAGAAAGCTCCCAATGAGGTTGACAACTCCATTCATTCAATATTGCTCACATTACTGTAGATCTCATCGGCTAATACAGCAGTCATTCGTAATCCCCTGTCAATCACCACTACAGTATCAGTCGACTTAATGCCTAGTGTGCCGTGCGGGCATCACCATAGTTGCTGAACTTGGTAAGGTTCTGTTTTCATGCTTATTTCTGGAAGAACGTGATATGCGTCTTAAAACCCTGCACAGATGTAGCACCCAGGTTTCAGGAGCCTTAGTCCATGTACAAGTGAACGCAGTATTCGGGACTAAGTTTGTGAATGAAAATGGACATCCTAGCGGCCTAGAATGAGTCTTCGGAATGAGCCGGTGTTGAACATAGCGCCCAGCCTTATGGAAAAGCACCCTGTTTCCCCTTGTTTGATGGACTGAAATAGTAGGGATTGCGTATAAAGAAGAAGTCTCACAAGCCATCTGGATGGCGTCAAACAGCTCAAATCTGTTCGGCAACCATGAACCCAGTGTTGAAGTGGGATAGGTCTGGTTGCCAGGACTCACACTACTAGATAATAAGGAGGAATCACAGCGGGGAAAAGGAGGAAATAAATGATGGAAAAATAAAGCAAGGGGTTTAAAAGATTGGTGAAAGAGGAGCCCCACCCAGCGAAATTTAATAGATAGTGAACTCATCTAGACCCAGTACAAAAAAAGACAAAGTGTAATCAAATACCAATTGTAAACGATAACCTGATGACAGCTGACAAGCACGTGCGCCACCTGAAGATGGGACTGAAACGCAGACTGAGCACAAGGACCCAGGATAGGATGGGCGTTGCAGGGAAAAGTGCGAATATGCTGCGGCTCACAACGGTTGATAGTTCCTGTTGCATGACAACGTATTCTTTCGATTGATGACGAACAACGAGAAAGCATATCGCTGAACTCGATGAACAGGGGAATGAGTGATAGGCAGACCAATTCCAACAAAGATAACAAGAAAAACGGAATTGCTCCTGATCAGCAAGGCGGGGTAAAATTTGACATGAACCACTGAACGCGTCGAAAGGGATAAATGGCCGAGAAATTGCACAACCGGACAAGTAGTGGATTGCGTATTGCCAAACCAAGAAAGACCCAATTGCGAGAAGCCGTTGAGGCAGCAAGCATAATTTAAGCGCATTAACCGTGGCCGCTCTTCTGCGCGATGCTGAGTACTGAGTACGTGTATCCTGGACGCTGCGCAGTGCATTCATCGTCGCCAGTTTATGTCGCAGTTCCTACTGTAACAAAGCTATCGGTGGACGTTGGGGGTTCATTATGTGAGATCTATTGTTTGCCGGGTCGACCTACCGTTCTGTTTTACCGTACTACTTTCTGTTGATGTAGTAGTAAGTCGTTATAAAAACACATCGACGTTTTGTGCCAACCGCATCTGCATGAGTCTGACACAATAAACGCCCCTACAATGTGACCGGGATGTGTCTACCGATTGTCATGGACGCACCGCAAATTGCCGCACACTGCGCGCCCTGAGAAAACCCCGAAGAATTCTAACGGCAGTTCAGAAATCCAATCGGATCTCACACGATGCACTACGCACAAAAACGCTGCGTCTGAATGCCCCAACTTGCATGGCACTTCACGCGATGACGCACAGACTAGGGATACTTGAACGATCGATACATTCTGGTCAATGTTTGAGGACAGAATGTTTGGCGGAAAACTGGATGCCTGTGGGATCTGTACTGACCGATGTTTAGCCGTAGCACTGAAGTTACCGTTACGTACAGGGTCTACTGTGGTAAAAAATAATGGACATCGCGTTGTCGGACGAACGTACACGTGGTGCACAACTGCTGCTATTTCATCGCAGCTATGTTCCCATTAAAGTAGACAGACTGACGTACACGTGAGCAATAAGTTTTCGATGTGCCCGTATTTGTATCAAAGGTAATGTTAAAACACAGTTATGGTAGGCACGCCGGTAGACTGAAAACTAGCTTCCAAAGAAGCAGTGTAGGAAAAAAGCAGCACTTACAACTAGACCTTTCAAATTAGGAATAATGAGGACTTGGTAGAGTATTTTCTCTCTTTTAGTATTTTGCTTTCCTGTTATGTGAGCCAAGTTCTATCTGGATTTTATCTTTACTAACTAACCTACGATACTTAGAGGTTGCTCGGTTGTTTCAGTTAATTTTATTGCAGTTGATAAATCATGATTCGGGCACCAAAGTGCCATGGACGCAGTTGCCACGACTCGCGTGACCGGTGGCAGTAATGAAGAATGATAACTAAATGCGGTTAGATTTAATTACGGTATTAGCAGAATGGAAGTAAGAACGAGGTGCATGAAGCTAATCGCATTGAAGTATGAACAGCTAAACGCAAGTGAACGAATCCAGGAGTAGCACTGACTACGAAAATGCGCCACGTCTGTTAGAGTCTCTAACCATTGGTTTGAAACAGCATGACGCCCCATTTACGAAGGCGGCACGTGCCTGCTTCACCAAATCTCTTGGTCAATTACTTCATATACCCCTATGCCACCTAATCGATTGAGCACCTCGTGGTTTCGCCTAACTTGGTGCGGTGACGGCGTATAATGCTGTCCGAGGAAGGTGATTAACTGAGGTACGGAGTACATGACCTAACCAACGTTAGAGATTCAACTTCAGCAGACACTGAAGTGAAGCACCGGAGTTTCTTGCAAAAAATCAACTGGCGGATCTCAGCATTGCTCATCCTGTGTTCCCACCAGTTGCGTGCAATACTGCGTGAGACCCGCTGATCAAAGACGGCCAAACGTTTGAGGTCTTCCGTACGAACTGCTCAAGTCTCAGAAGCAAACAGTAGCACCGGCCTTGTCGCAGTTGTTCCCAAGAGTATAGCTTTGTCAAACACTGAAACAGCATCCACGAACGCAATATGAATTCACATTTAAGTGGGTCTTACCACCAGGTGCTCTTCCATCTTTTGTTACCCCAACGAAGGAACTCAACCACATCACGTTTACCGCGGAAGCTGTCCTGTAAAGGCTTACGTCTCTGATCAACCATAGCCAACTTTCTCCTACAACAGTAGCTGGTGACTAGAGTTCGGACAGACGGACACAGTGAAACCGCTAATAAGGTGCAATAGTCGAGACTCTAGTATCTCAAAACTGAAAACTGTTCAGTGCAAACACTAAGAGTATGCAATCATTCATCGGCTCACTTGCATTGCGGTGGAAATAGCCGACAGTGAAGCTGGCGTGTCTGTCAAATCCGGATCCATTGGGATTGTGGGTTCAGGCCGCGAATGACAAGGTGAAGCATCGGATCGTGTGCATGAGGGACGTCCTGTGCGAGCAACCAACCGAGAACAAGTGAAGTGTAGAAGGATCTGGCATCGGGAGCAGTAGTAAGCACTGCAACGAGGAGTGACGATGTAATCTTCACACACCGCACAAATCTGGGGACTACTGACAGAAACGGGTACCAAACGATGGGGGCGGGATGGTCGCGGAAGAGCTAGAGAAGGACAAGACGTGGGTGTGATGGTTCGGCTCAATGCGGTGCAGTAATGGAATTACATCAGGAGTTCCACATGAGGAGCTCACAAAATGAGCTTCAAAATGGAAACGAATCAATCTAGGAAGTTGATGAATCAGAGCGGTCAGATAAACTTAATACGTCGGTTGATTAGCATTGCCGACTTCCGTAGAGATACGCCTATAACGTAAGATAATGTGTAAAAACAGGGTACAAAAATCGGATAGATTTACACAATGATGGGGAGTAATCGGAACGAATCAGATATAATTGCTGTAATGCACCTGAAATCCCTTGCATGACTCGGTTAAATGTAGTGACAATAGCCAATGAGCCTACTCTGGCGTTGCCTAATGTTGTCGATCAGTAGGGCCCGAACCAGAGTGTATTCGACCGGTGTCCGACTGCCTACCTCGCTTCGATCTTGTGGCTAGTTCGTTCCTATCAATTAGTTATACCAATCGGAAAGGTATATTCGAGGTGGGATAAGGCAATGGTATTGGAGATGGGAGTCACACAATTATGCTCCAAGTCGGGATTAGGCGTACCGTAAGAGGTCGTACGCTAGCGCTATGTTACGTCCCCGCTAACAATAAGGGTGACACGTACTACCGCTGCAACTTCAGGCTCACACAAATTTCCCAAATCAAAAGATGAAGATCCTGACAAAAAGCATCAACACGACCAGAGAGACACACAGGATTTACACAATTAGGAATTTCAAAAGCGCAAGAACAACTGACATTATAGCAGGATAATCTGAAGTCAGTGTATTTTGCGTAGTCTCTTCAGCTGCTTAATTACAATGAATGAATCTAATTATAGTGTTGAGTAAATGACCTTCCTGAACGCTTCCTTGATACCGAAGGGTGATAAAATCCACTATTCGCTCTCATTGGTCGGCTATGAAAGTCACAGTCTTAATGGCTGATCCCGGGCACAACATAGTCTGCCAGCCGCAGCTATGAAATAAACGTGGACGACCTGTACGAGCGATCCCTCTTAACACGATAGCAACTCACAATCAAGCAAGCGGGTGGATATGCAAGATGTGTGTCATGTGATTGGAGATCACAGACTAAACGATAAACACAACAAGTGGACCTAGTACAGTAAGTCGGTTAAGGTCGAAATTGAAGAAATTACTGGTGGATTGCATAAATTGCAACGCGGACTTGTCAAAGTGATGACGGTAGTTTAGGTAGAGCAGCAGAGATCCGTAGTGGAGTACACTTAGTTGGATTTCGACAAAAAGTGGATCAAGGAAATTGGAAATAAGGTGAATAGTAAGTAAAATGGAAACAAGTGGCTAGGTATGAAGCAGAGTAAATAAAAATGTCGGGCTCACTGAAATGCAAATTATCAGCACGTTCCATAGAAGGCGAGGAGGATGTGGAGGGAAGAGATCGTAGTGAACTGGCTGAAACGTCCCCAACGGACCGCCAAGGACTGGAATTCGGGGGGAAAGGGCGTCGTGGAACGACAGGAGGTAGTGCGGGTTCGTCGGATTCATCTTTGGTCACAGGTGCGCCGGAAGTAATTTTTGTGGAGGGAGGGGAATCGCACATGTTGTGACGGTCAGCGATAGACCAGTGCGAGGAAGCTGAAATGAGAGAAGCCCATTAGTGGGGATCGATAAAATGGGTACGCTAGGCGGGGTTAGGCGGGGTACGCTAGGCGGCGCGCGGAAGTCTAGCACAGCGACAACACCGTTGGGACAAAGTGGTCTCGGTGATATCTCGAAGTTTCTCTAGTCAAATTTATGAACTGTTCACCAAGAACTGAAGAGTAAGAGATCCAGGTGTTTTGATCTATATCATTATAAAGAATACTTATATCAGAAGGTAAAATATGTCAGATATGAGCCTGTAGGAAGCCTTGTTCATCGGGAGAATTAAAAAAATGCGACAAAGCAAGAAAGTCGGGGGAGCCGCTGACTCCATGAATGCCTGAAGTCCGACAAAGCATAAAATCACTTGCGTGGCAGAGTTCGTAGACACGGCAACACAGCGTTAACAAGTTTCACGTTTGGCAAGAAGCAAATGTTTGTATTTCAGATTATTCAGTTGGTGGTCTGAGTGTTACCTGAGCTCGGCAGTTTGGCTGCAAACGCCTCATCACTACTCGAGATGACATCGTCAGGGCACGTGTATGCATCCGAACGGCGCGGCACGAAAAGTCAGTGGGTTCGATAGGCATATGACTATCGAAAAGAAAATCTTTTACTTGTGCCTCCTAGCGTAAGCACGCGTGCTCTGCAGTTGACGTCGCCGATTGACGCATTTTTCGATGTTCTGTTTCCTTAGATTTGGTTTACTAAATCGGTGATCTTTCATCCGTAGTGCTGCATATACTGCATCTAGTTCAAAGCGTCGGCTGAGTGAACTGCCTGTAAAATACCATGCTCCCAAGAACTTTCTAGCTTGTCACGAATTTTCACGGGCTACGATTTTTTTTACGTTCTCTAGGTTGAAGTAATCTTGGTCTTAGGCTTCATGCATGAAAACCAGTGAATGCGGGTCGTGTCTCTGTACGGCCATCTTTACTGGTTGATCCGTGTTTAAAGTTTACTTCCAGTTTATCCGATGTGCTGTTTGTCACACTGAAGTTTATCATGTAGATGAGATAATACTGACTGCCTGATTCGACCGTCTTTCGGCCTTGAGAGTAATCCTCTCTAAGTGCCAGTTGGTTCCATGTGGTCGTAGCAATCTCGCTATTAGTTCAGACAAGTTCTTAATGCAAGGAAGCACTACCCATTTATCCACGTGTTCTCGCTGTTGTTGAGTCACTCAGTTTAAGTTTCTTTTGATGAAATTTCACGGATACCCGTTGTGTTGGAATAGTCGGTAATGATGGTTCTTCCTTCTTCCTCAATTCTGTCGTGCTGCAGTGCGTTTCGGCTCTTCTGAGAAGGATTTAAATGCAGTTTTGTTTGTGATTCAGTGGATCGTTGCTGTGGTAGTTTAAGATTTGGTCGATGTGGGCTTTCTTTAGATATACGCAAATTTGAAGTTTGCTGTCAGTGGTTCTGTGGTAATTGCTTGTAATTCTCGAGTTAAGTGGTAAGGTTGATATCCTGGAATGTGTTGTTGACTAGCTCATGCGTATTCTGTATAGAATCCCATCTGATAATGATAAATGTGCCGTAAACGTACTGGATGAATAATTGCGATTTGATCGACGGTAGTGTGATACTCTCCAGTTTCGGTATCACAGCCCCTACAATAAGTCATAATCTTCGCGATCCCATGGGGATTAGTCTCAGTTGGTGGTATACTGGCACATCAGCAAAACAAGTGGTCATGCAGAGATCCAGGAGTTTTCACATGCTATCCGACTTCAGGTTTTTTACTGTGTTCGGTTGATTTCGAAATTAATTTCAATGGTCATGTGCCCATCGAACGATGCAAACTCAGACTGGCAGCTAGTACGCCTAGAAGTTCGATTACTCATACTCACTGGCGCTTCGTACTGCGCCGCTCCGCTACATACAACCGCACTGACGATGTCACCCCTAGTAGTGACAAGACGTTTGAGGCCAAACTGCCGAGCGCAGCGAACACTCAGACCACCACCAACATTTTGTAAGGTCCTTCATGCCCATCAGACATTTCATCGACTGGCCACCTGGGGTTTCGCTCAACCGGGTAGAACATCAGCAAATGCCCCGCTGCAGTCGGCCGATATGCATACGAAGAATATGAAATAACATAGACGAAGCAAGTCAAACATCGATTCGGGCATTGTAGTTTGGGGTTTATACATGAAAAATAAATGGAAAACTTCGGTACTGCGCTTTCGGCGCTTCCCTTAGGTGTGAGCAATAAATTGCAGATACAGGTAATCGAAGACGAACAGCCCATGAATGTCCCCAACATGCAATGACCATGTATCTGAACAAGCAGAGAGTAACACCGGAAGTATTGCAGTTTTGTACCGTGTCTTAGAGCGACAGGGATCTGTGTCACGTGCCTCAGAGATGGCATGCGTTTAAAAAACACGCAGGACCTTGTGAAGTTTGCTTCCGTGACTTAACCGCAGGAAGCGACACATTTACCAATGAAAGTGAATCAATCAGCCAGTTAGTGTTTGTTCGGTGATGTGATGGCCTAGTCAAGAAACAGCGCGCTGCAAAATGAAAGTGCAAAGCGCGCACCAAAGAATGTGGCAAGGCATCGGCAGTACGCCAGTACGTAGTACCGACGCTTCACTGCCGCGAAGCCACGCACAGTCGCGAGTACGCTGAGAATACTGCAAGCGTCGCCCCATCCGCTACACAGGCACGAAACCACGCTAGCTGATTACGAGACAGGCTACGGGTCGACATCAGTCAGTTTAGTGACAGTTGCATAGCATCCGGATTCGGTCCAAGAGGAGTTACGTGGTACGTGTAAGCTCGCCACTCGATCCGCTGTAAACTTTCAACTCACGAAAAAGGGCGAGAATGAACCATTCATAATTACTTCACTAATAAAGATAAGAAAAATAGCTCTCATGAACGGTACCTGTCGTGGATAACTTGAAGGGTATGTGTAGACCCCATGAATGGCAGCATAGATAGTTAAGAACAGAAAGGAACTTTGCAGATGTGGCTTTCGAAGATAGGCATCACGACAAACAGAGGTCATGTGACTCAGACAGTAAACAAATTAAGGAAGTAGGTGGTAATAGGGTAGCATTCAGTGTGAAGATGTTCGACAGTCTGTGTAATGTGACCTGGACGGCAGTAAAACTGTCGCACTGAGGACGTTCGTAACAGCCGTATCATGCCGAATGAGCCGCAATGGGGCGATGGTAACAACGCTAATGTCCTAATGACTTCCATAAAATGTCACTTTAAAGATGAGAATGACTATCAAAGTCGAAAGGCCCTTCCTTCTTAACTCTAAATGGTGTCAAACACAGTATTAAACTCAACCAACGATGAGTCGCTGCGGCATTTCAGAAAGGAAGGGGCAGGATGGTCCAGGCAAAGTGCTTCGGTACACCACAGCAGTTCCAAGGAAGTTAAAATGGCTCGGCCAGTAGTTCAAGTATGACGGGCAGCTGAGTTGCTCTTCAACGATCAAACGGATGTGTGACGGCGGATCAAGCGTTCACCCTCCAGTTTCTATTTGATTAAAAGCGACTTTACCCGCAAAAGTACTTTATGAATTGAAACTCCACTCGGTCGCTCCAAGTAACCCGGGTCTCCACTGCAGGGTCCTTATTCACCGACTTTAGCGTCGGTCCATGAAGCTGTCGACAATAAAATGTGCAACCAACAGGGTTGACTTCTGTTTAAAGATAAATTGATCGAAGTCTCAGAAATCCAGGTACTACTATTCGAGCGCTACGCGCTGGGTGATAGAGTGACATCCAGTGCATTTCGTAGTGCACTGAAGGTTATTCTATCAAGCATTCGGTTAGAGAGTAACGACTATACTGCAACAGAGACCGAAGGTGAACGGAGGAAGCCATTTGTGAGCCAACTGGGAGCTAGGTACCGGTGCGCAAATGACAAAGCAAGGCCTCCAGAAAAGTGAGAACACGGGATTTAATTATACATCAGTTGCTCAACCCGTTTTCCCACCAAAATAATGAGTTTTTCTGGGAGATTTTACTCTCCCGGACAGCCTTGCCTTAAATGCGTCTAGATTAGAAAATGAACGAAAACTCCCGATGGAGCGCATGGCATCCAAAACGGCTGCATTACAAATCGCCAAACAGGTGTAAAAAAGACATCTGCGTCCGCGATGATTCGCTGGGCCACAACACACTAAAATGACAGAATGACAAAACGTAGCTAGGTGGCCCGATCTCCGGTGTCTACGCAAGGGCTTAAAAAAAAGAGAATGCTCATGAAGGCTCCCAAAAGAATTCCCATAATCATAACCGCGAAAAGGTAATCGGATAATATCACCAGTGTGTTCGAACCTGTGACGTGACCAACAGCGGTTGAACGCGGGTCGCCCGTACCTAAGCAGGTCTGAATCGGTGACTCTTGGGTCACAAGTCAAACGCCTGAAGCCTTCTGTGAACAACCGGAAAAGATCAAAAATAGGATGTAGTAACATGCTACATCATGGGTGATAAACAGGTCCCAAGCGTGCACAAAAGGAACAACGTAATCCGCCGTTAGTCATCCGCTGAGACTAAAGGAATGCGACAGCCGTTCGAAAGATGTCAGTAATACTGGTAGCATTGTGTGCTAAGGAGCGATAGCGAAGCGCTACACTTATCAGCCGAAATTAGAGTAGATAGAACAGATAATGGGGCTCTCCACTGATAATGAGATGGAGCCTAACTTATTCTAGTTGATCGTGGCAAACCGACGAACGGAACATTTTCGCCGGGTGTTTAACGCAAAGTGAGTGTGCTGCGGTGATCAGGAAAAAAACCCGAAATTAAGAGGAGAACGGGAGCAAGGGTGGGATAGCGTTAAAAGGGCAAGGAAGTAGCTAATAATAGTATGCCTTTGGTGTCATGTCAACTAAATCAGCCAATTCTGAAAGGTACCTATTAACAATCATCGTCATCATCATCATTATACACGTTAGGTAGAGGTGTAAAGCACCTCAACTACTGCGCCGCAATACACAAAAGGAAAATAAATACAACAGTTGCATGCCAGCTAAGCTACTAGCAACGGATGGACATCGTTCCGGAAAGCTACCAGCCGGCTAATAGGCAACAAGCAAAATTATGATGTAAAATTATATTATGTTACGGAATGAAATCGTGGTTAGAGGGGAGGCTAAGAGGGATGGGAAGGGACAAAGAAACTCACAGCACGAACGCCACTGAGGTCGGCTCCTTGCCATGTCAACAAGCGTATCTAGCCAAACGCGTTCAACGTCTTTTGGACCCCAACCAGGGAGCCGTGAAGCTCCAACCGAGGCCAGCTCCGAAGTGAGAGCCTTCATTCCTATCGACCAATTCATCGCTTGGCCACCCCTGCTCTTCTTCCATCAACACCACCGGCGCGCAAACAACGCACGTCGCGGGAGTCGGTGGGCTGGTATGTGCAACACGTGGCCAAGCCATCGGAGCCTGGCGCGTGAAATAACGGTGCTGAGCGGTTCAGATCCTTTTCGTGGGCCGTAAACAAGGCGTCGAACACGCACTTTGCTCAAGCGGTGTTCGCACCAGATATGAGCTAAATTGCAAAGGCACCGGTGGTCGAGCGTAACTAGCCACTTTATGTCCGCTGATCCAAGCGGATAGGTTTTGCAACCGTACAGTAAGGTCGAACGTACCACTGCATTGTACACTCTACCCTTCAGGGCGAGAGTGATGTCGCGCCGCCGCCATAGGTGGCGTAGACAGAAAAAGCACTTCGAGCTTTTGATATACGGTTCGTGATCTCATCTCCAATCCCAAGGGCGCTGATACAACTCACTATTAACAATGGACGCAATTAACCTTGAATAAACGAATTAGACAGACTGGGCTTTTGGTTAACTGGGCATTCGTTAAGGTCCGCTGCTCTTAAAATCACGGTCCGGAAGTACACGACCTGTGAGCGCCCCCTGTTTCAACCTGATGGATGTAGACACAATGCTATATTCAAAGAGGAGGAAGAAAACTGAGACCAATGCCGTGACATCGGCATGAGGAACGATAAGTGTCCAGCAGATCAAATGGAACATGTTGGTAAACATAGTCGCCCAGGAACTCAAAAGCCATACGTGTGAATAATTGCGACGGTGAGTTTAACTGTCCCTAGTGATAGCAGCGTCCCCAAAAGGATGGGAACGGGTCAGCTCCCCATATCTGCTCCGGAAGAACCGGGCGAACAGAAGCAGCTAAACGGATAGGGAACAGTGAAGCAGGATTTGGTGCACCTCACGTTACCTGCATCTCATCAGGAATGTAAAAAGTCGCCGGGTTAAGTGAGATGCGGCAAGTGATTAGGGTATTTGAGGGACTTCATGCGACGTTCAAAGTGCTAAAGGAAAAGGGTGCGACAGGAAGAATACACTTTGAGGAACGAATGTTCACCCTGTGTTGAGTCTGTGAGGCACTCGTGAAGGCCAGATTCGTGAGAAGCAAGTCGAGTTTCGTCGAGGTCGGGGCTGCGTCGACCACATCTTCCCATTACGTCAGTTGTTGGAGCACCGTGATATATACTGGCGGCCCACCGTATTCGTGTTCCTCGACATCAAAGGTTCCTTCGATTCGGTTGATCGATGTGCCCTTTGGGACTGTCTGTTAAGGAAAGGTGTACGCCAGAAATAGGTAAATATTATCTGAGCGCTTTACGAGCATAGGTCAAACGGAGTGAGGACTTACGGTAAGCTGTCTCCCCTTACAATTTCTCCAGCGGTGTAAGACAAGGATGTCCGCTGTCACCTTTCCACTTCAACTTCGTTATTGATGATGTCAGGGAGATTGTGTTCATAGGACACGACATTGAAGGCGTGAAACTGCTCGCAGGTGAATGACTTCTTGACTTGGAGTATGCTGACGATATTGCCCTTATTTGTGACAGCCCAGAAACGCGCTAAGCAGCAATAGACAAACTAGCATTGGCTGTCAGCCGTTTCGGGCTATGCTTTGATCCTTCGAAGTGCAAAGTTTTCCGCCAAGATTGACAGGAAGTGCCTCCTACGCTGACCCTTGGTGGGGACCAGCTAGAAGTCGTCCAAAGATTCAACAACCTCGGCAACTGTATCAACGTCGTTAGAATTGAAGATGATATCATAAACCGCTTAGCAAAACTCGAAACGCCTTTCCTAACCTTCGCCACCTATGGCGCCGGCGCGACATCACTCTCTTCGAAGCGTAAAGTATAAAATGCAGCAGTATGTTCGACCCTACTGTACGGTTGTGAAACTTGGCCCATTAAATCGACAAGCGTAAAGAGGTTAGTTAGGTTCAACTACTGGTGCCTTCGCAGTTTGGCTTATGTGTGGTGGGAACACCGTGTGAGCAACGAGCGCATTCAACGCCTCGTTTATGGCAGAGGAAGAAGAATTGAACCGCTCGGCACCGCTACATCAAGCATCAGGCCCTGATGGTTGGGCCGTGTGTTGCGCATGCCAACCCATCGACTCCCGCGACGTACGTTATTTGCACCCCGGGGGTGTGGATGGAAGAAGAGAAAAAGTGATCAAGCTATGAGTTCGACAAAAGGAATGAAGGACCTTACTTCGAAATTGGCCTTCGTTGGAGCCCTTTGGCTCCCCGGTAACGGATCGAAAGACGATGAACACGTCTGGCTGGATACACATGTTGATATGGCTAGGAGCCGACCACAGTGGATTTTGTGTCGTGAGCTTCTTGGTCGCTTCCTCTCCGGCTTAGTCTCCTCTTCCAACCACGATCTCAATCCATGTGCATAATATACTTCTTTTGGCAGCAAGATAGCCGGCTGTTAGCTCTACGGAACGATGTCCATCCGTTACCAGCGACTCAGCCGGCGTGCCTATGCATTTTTCTTTTCTTTCTAATGTATTGTAGCGCAATAGCTGAGGTGATTCTCACTTCTAGCTAACGTGTGTGATGATGATTTTTAGTCTGTAGAGCAATCCCTGCTTCGTCTTATTCCCTTACTTGGCTAGTTCAAATGCGCAAACGTTCTGGTGCTGGGTTTATCAGGGTTCAGAGAAGGGTGTTGCATAAAAATCATGGATAAACTCGGTGTTTCTGACAGTGTGGTTGATAAACGAACGATCCATCAGAGAGGCAAGCATAGGAAGTCGGGTGATTAAAAGCCGCACAAGATCAAAGTTAGCCTACATCACTTGCCCCAAATCGGAGGGGATGTAGTTAAGACAGCTATAATCGCAGCCAACGGATGGTTGGGGGGGGGGGGAAGCGAACTGCCCATCTACAGACAGCCGATTCGTTTTGTCTGGTGTTCTTGGCGCCACATCACACCTGTTCACAACCGACAACATGCATGAATTCATGCGCATCCAACGCAGGAGTACTGGTTGTAAGCCATTTGTCAAGAATAAGCAACCGACGCCTGACGGTGATGTGGAGCGAAGATTTACAATATGCATCTATTCATTTTACACGTTAGCTAGGAGTGAGAAACAGCCTAGTTACTGCACCGCAATAAAATTCAACCGGATGGCGACAAAAATAGGGGGGAAACAAAGGAGAACAGGAAAGATATAGTATTATATTATGTTTTATATTACGCATTAAAGGCAAGTGAGATGCACAGCAATACTTTACAGTCTATTCAAAAGTGTCAGATGAATAAGGATCAATAGATCCACGAGGAGAAAAAGGTGTACAAGAGAAAGCGAATTTAAGCATGGGCTCCAGCAGATGAGACGTGATCGGACGACGAGAAGGAGGCCTTATGCAGTACAGTTTACGTTAAGTATCATGTTAGTTCAATTGGTTAAACAGCATTTGAGAAACCGGAAGTGATGGACCCGGCTGATTTGATTTGAGTCGCCATAGCACAAATGGAGAGAAGTGGAGGGAAAGAGGATGAAAACCCCAACACATAGGGCAAAAACTCGAAAGAAGAATTAGAAAACTTGACAGTCATTAAGCAGAAAAGCCAAAGAAATATGCAACAGGTCGTGCGTGAGCGTATCGTCAAATTCATAAGTGAGAAGTATCGGACCAAGTTCGAGGTCTCCGGTCATACAGAAGCACGCTACAATCAGGTGAGGTGTTTCGTTCAACGAGTACATGCCCTATCGTAGTTTAACCGGCTGGTAACTCAGGACCCGCAAGCAGTAGAGTTCTCAGTCGGAAAACATCGTAGTAATCATTCGCAGACACCATTAGAGAAAAAGGAATTTTTGCCCAACAACTCTGAAGAGCGGTTGTTACGCATCTTACAAATCAAAAAATCAGTGTCATCATTAATAGCGGTATACCAATAGTTGCATTGAAGTTTCACAGTCGCACAGCCATAATAACCTCAATATGAAATAGAGAGAATAGAAACAAAACCCAAACAATCAAGGCAAATATCTGAAATAAGGATGTCAGCCCTTAGTCAAAAACGCACGACCACAGATAGATAATGATCTTGCGAGCATGCGGTAATATTGGGGAGAGAGATCTTTTAAAGGAATTATAGCCAGATATCATAAGTGCAAATCAAAGATAACTCTGCAGCATACAAAGCACAAATGGGCAGTCCGGTTAAATTAAAGCAAACGTATCACCAGCACCGATAGCGTGCCGTTCTGTAAGGTCACGAGAACGGTGCAAAGTGGGGTGCACAGACACGAGGCTGGAAGCTGAGACAAGCCAACAGCAACCACAAAGAGTCGTCAACATCTTCATTTTCCACCACCAAGTTATCGAATGTAACTCCTGAGGTTTGCGCCATCCTGTTTCCAGGAAAATGAACATGGCCGTCCTCGCTGAGCGGTGGGTGGGAATAAGAAACATCAGAAGTATGCCGGCACCCCGTATAGACGAATCGTTGTACACGAACATCGGCAGCAGCATGCGGCCTAAGGATTCTGCAAGGTTGTCTTATTTATGTGGGACTACAAGTCAGATGCCTGAACCACTCGGCCAACCGTCGACCCATAGCATGCGAGCAAACCACCACAACGTAGTTAACCTTACTTGTTGTGCTAACGAAATGATTTGATCATTATCACCTAGTACGAACCCACGCACCTCATTGTCGTGGACATAGAAACATCAAGCGATGAAATTGTGGGTAAAACGTGATGAACGCTAGAATCCCATGGTGACAGGCTGCCAAGGGACGCGAATGAGTGTAGATGCTGAGATTCGAATAAGACAAACGAATTTCCAGGGTGTCCAGTCAAGGAGCATAAAACGGTGGGACGAAACAGTCACACTTAACGGGGGTGTACACGAGAATACTCAGATGAGCAGGGAAGTGGTGAGAAAACAAGATAAAAAAATTGTACATTGTATTCTATTGAGTAAAGGAGCTTGGAAGATATATCCACATCTTCGAAAGATAAAGTGTATCGAAGCAGCCTGCTTAGAGGATTATACAAGAGAACTACAATTTTTCCTCCAACAATTTCTCATGCATCTTGGCTTCCGGATTCATAAAACGGTGATTCAGAGTGAAGTAGGGTGAAGAACTGCGTTCTCCGAAGCGCGGAAAATGGCGATCCGGATATTCATCTGTATAAACGGCGTACTGTTTAGAAAGCACAGAAGCCACAGCAAACACAGCAGCGCGACGGAGACGAATTGCTGATGAACCTATAAAAAAGCACAGAAATGAGACGGCTTGGAGGAGTATGAGATTTGAACGGCGTGGATGGTTAGTGTTGCGTGATAGAGACAGAAACTGACCACTACAAAAGCTGTACGAAGAAGACACGTATTCGTAAACTGTATAAAATGCAACCGGTATAAGAATAGAAAGTTCCCGAAAATGCTGGGTCTGATTGGCTGTCCTGTGTCAAATAAACCAGGAAGTGTGACGAGAACTAGATCATTAGTTCAGTGCCTTTAAATGAAGCAGTCATGATCCGGACATTGAACTGCCAAGACTTGCGTTCTCAGAATAACAAAGAATCACAATGGTGACATAAAATGAGATGGAACCCGAACGTAATAAAAAGGAAAGGAAGACGAGACAACTAGACCGATCAAAGCGGTGAGCAGGAAAAGAACACACTGACGGACGCCGGTAATTCGACGTGTCACCTTACAGCTCACTCCACTCAAACAGTCACGCGTCCAGTTCAGTGAGTGCGCATGGAATTCCGCAGATGGGAAACCCTCGTCAACTAGACATGCAGGACTGTATGACAAATGCTAATAGGAGATTGAACAGTGTCAGAGGTCGCATAATTAAGTGTGAGCTGTCCGCAGGAACGGGGGGCGTTCAAAACTCAGTCGAGTTCAGATAAGCAACAACCTCAAAGCCGCGAAGCTGTGCAACTCGCGTCTACAAGATACGAATACTTGATAATGAAGGACAATATGACATAAGAACGAAAAAGAATGTAAGAAAACTTAGAAATGGTGGGTAAAATCAACCGGGTACGAATGTTAACATCAACATGCAAGAGTCCTGATGTGGGATCACCAATGATCCCGCGGTTGAGGCTTGTCCTATAAGACGACCAATCGCTGATGTAATAAATGCCGAGGGTCTCAGTCAAGAAAATGGCACGTGTCAATCCAACTATGTCCACTAAAAAATTGTTCATGTACATTTGCCACGTCATCAACTGGCCACCTCGCGGTTTCGCTAAACAAAGTTGCAGAGACACCATGTAATGCACTCCAGGGAAGGTGATCAAGGGGTATGCGGGAAGCATGACCAAGCTAAGGTAAGCGATTCAAGTTTTACATACAAACTAAAGAAAAGTTAGAGGGCTTCTTTCCAAACACCAACCGGTGGGCTTCATTATGGTTACTTCAGTGTTCTCACCAGATGAGAACAATATTCCGTTAGCACTGGTGATCAACGATGGTCAATTTCAAATTATATTCACTGTGAACTGGCCAGCTCTTTGATCCATATAGTAACACGAAAACTATCTCAGCCTTGTAAATCCTACCTACAACTGATACGCTAATATCTCGTGGTCTCCATACATAAGCGAGCTACTGGAAAGCGAAAAGGGTTTTGCTGATGCATGAGGTAACCTCAGTGATGTGACCACCAAATGTGATACTGCTGCCAAGATAAGTGAACCGATCGATCACCTCCAGTGGCCGAGATCGCAGGGCGTTAAACCAGTACTGCACCAATGTCTTGCGTGTCGCAGTATGCGGTGAACTGAATCAAGCTACCCAGATGATTGTACAGGGAGAAGGGGTATGATCAATGAGGATCCGTATCACCCGTGTGCTCTGGCGACATTAGTTGGCAACTCAAAGTTTCTACTTCTACTAGGGGAGGATGACCATCTGAATAACAAAGCTGTGGAGAGGAGAGAATAAAAACGACCTTGGTGTGCCCTACTCGTATTACAGTCTTTCCGGTATGATGGGACCACATCCCGTAAGGCGGAAAGGACTCGGGCCTTTGCGATCAAACACAAGTTGCCCATTGGATGGCCGAAAAACTGCAGGAACTGCTCGTTTTGTAGAGGCGCGCAATGTGCGGAATCGGAGGTGCGCGTTTTTGCTGGATTCCGGTCCCATCATACCGGACAGACTGATGATAACTGAGCAGACGGTTTCTTGTAAACAACTACTCAAGTAAGAGAGTTGCGGTAGAGATTTTAAACCATAAAGAAGCTAGCTTAACACACCCTCCAAGGATTGGTAAGACTACAAGCCGACAAAAACAACTGAGAAGAAAGCGGCTTTTTATGTCCAAAATCACCAAGATAAGGCAACTGCATATGTGTCCATGTTTCATCACGGATGAGCAAAATGATGAGGAATGATCCTGTGAGATTCTTATACGCAACGGAAATAACGCCAATATGTCGTTGATTTCCACAGAAAGTCCCATGACTCTTCCGAAGATGAGAATGACAGTTTACAACCACAAGTCTGAAATCACCGCCGCAGCGTCTTAAACGGTGTTGTGTAGATGGATAGACTCCCCAACAATTATGGAGATGGGCTGTCTGACCCGTCGCTGCACTGCTGATGAAACAAATACTGATGATCAAGGTTCTTAAATCACAGAGCTTATAGTGAGAAATTAAAACAACGTAGAACACCACTCACCGTGTATACCAGCGACTACCCCGGCAGCGGCACCGCCTACCAGGTGATGAACCCAATGGTCTGTGCCCCCGGAGACTCTTGAAGATAAGCATGAAATAGCAGCATGAGTCATTCCTGCGGCGACTAATAAAGAAAGGCGTTACACATGGCACAGTCGTTACTTCCGGTGAGGATCCAACGAATAGACATAATTCCAACTTTGGGAACATCCTTGCCAGTAAGAACGGCCAACGAGTATCGGTAAGAAGCCCCAGAAAACGCTAAAGGGAATGATGAAGAGGATCAAGGTGTGGATGAAGATAGCAAACGCATAACCATGCAGACACTGGCAGTGGGCGGATCAGGGTAGTTTTTGACCGTGCAGCACTCACGCATCGCTGTCACGCGACTGCCACGAGGCGCTTGCAAGCTACAGATACTGCGAAGTCGCCCGCACCAACCCACATTCAAACCGATAAGTTTTGGGTTATAAGAAAGAGGATTCCTCCATTCGGTCACTGGCCAAATGTACAAGATAAAAGAAAAGTACTGAGTTCAGTGCGGTAAACTCGTTTAGAGTTTTAGCCAAGCCCCTTAGTGAACTATGGGGCTTAAGTATTTAGACAGAAATTGCCCATAATGGGTCGGGCGCCGTAGCTATATGAGGACGTCTAACAATTTGACGCAAACAGCCTAGATCTCTAGGTGCGCGCTCGGAAGCCCACTAAGGAGACGGATCGATCAGTTAAAAAAAGTGTGTTTGATCGCTGACTAGCAAACCGTAATACAAGTTGCTCGATGCATCAGTATCATTGTACACGTTAACTAGAAGTGAAAACCACCTCAGCTATTGTGCCGCAATACTAAAGAAATAAACATGCAACAGTGATACGCCGGCTGAGTCACAATTAAGGGATGGACATCATTCGAGCTAACAGCCCGCTATCTTGTCGCAAAAAAAGGATTATATTATGCATATGAATTGAGATCGTGGTTGGAGGGGGGCTAAACAGGAGGGACAAGGAAAATTACAACACAAACAGTATTGAGGTCAGCTCCTAGCCATGTCAACAAGTGTATCCAGTCAAACGTGTTCATCGTCTTTCGGTCCCAAAGCAGGAAGCCGAGAGTAGCCAACCGAAGCCAATGCCGTAAGGGCCTTCATTTCTCTTGAAAAAAGATCATCGCTTGGCTACCCCTCCTGCCATCCACACCCCGGGGCGCAAACAACGCACGTCACGAGAGTCGGTGAGCTGACCAACAGAGCAGGCCTCTTGTAGCTGATATCTTCCAGCGTCTCAGTGAAGTACATGATAGCTTGGAAACATTATAGTGTTGCTCATCCCAACACTGGCACCCCAAGACCGCGGTTTCGTCCTGGTTGGGACTCATCAGTTGGAGATAGCCTGAGTTGGGCTGGAACTCAGGCTATCTCCAACTGATGAGTCCCAACCAGGACGAAACCGCGGTCTTGGGGTGCCAGTGTTGGGATGAGCAACACTATAATGTTTCCATTTTACTTACGGTCTTTGTGATCGGAATGACCGAGGTCCACCTCAAGTGAACCGAGGTCTCAATAGAAGTTACTTGTAGCAACCCAACCACCAGCGGATGCTACAAGTCCAACTTTACATGATAGCATGTTTGCGAAACCATCAGACAAGTGTCCTCCTAAATGTCTCCGTACGAGTTTTTCTTTCCTATTTCATTTTCTTATTTCTTTGTCCCTTCCTCTCACATTTTTATGGACAGGAGAAGTTTCGCTCTCATAGTGACACACATCGTCGAAGCTGAACACATTACACCTTAGTTCACGAGGCACCATCGATTTACGGAAGTGATTTATGTGACATCATCATCATCATCATCAACAATAGTACATCAGCCATTTGAACTGATGCTTCGCTGCCATACAACCATGAGGATCTATGAAATAAAGAATAAGAAGATGAAGAGAAAGGGGGACTTACCTGAAAACCTTAATGCCCTAAGCAAACACTCAGGGTCAAGGCGCCTACACCTTGTGTAGACAACATGCCGTCACAAACAGCTGACTATCGTGCAAAAATAAGGCGGCATCGGCGAGACAGCTTCCTTGCGGCTTTCACTGCCACGCGTCATAATCAGCCATTACCCCGCAGATAACTCAGCACCAAACATACTGTAAACAGGCAATCCAATGAGGAGACGGCAGCAGACGCGCCACTGGTGTCGATTGCGAGCCATGTCCTGCAAAGTCTCGAGCCAAGCACAAGGTGAGTCACGTGGACTCCAACCCGGAAGGCGAGACGGACCAACGGCACCCAGTTTGGTTCAGTGACTTCATTTCCCGCTGCCAAGTCAACTTCTGTCCACCTCGAGTATTGCGCCATCCTACACCAGAGAGACTGAACAAGGCCCTCCTAGGTAAGTGGTGACCAGGCATGCGTAGCACGTGCCCGAGCCAACGCAACTTATTCAGTGCCATCTGTTGTTCTAGGGAGCTAGCATGATTATCACTACCTAGTACTCGCATACGCACATCATCGTTGGGGATACGCTGGTGCCACTAGTAACGGATGGGCATCGGTTCGGAGAGCCACTAGCTGGCTATCGTGTCACAAAAAGAAGTTATGTTATGCACAGGAAATGAGATCGTAGTTGGAGGGTGAGGCTAAGCGGGAGGGGAGGGATCATCATCATCATTACACGTTAGCTGGAGGTGGAAAACACCTCAGCTATTGTGCCGCAATACAAAAGACAAGAAAAGGAAAACAAACAGTGGCACGCCCGCTGAGTCCCCAGTAACGGATGGACATCGTTCCGGAGAGCTAATAGCTGGCTGCCGTAAAACAGAGTCATATTATGCCTAACAAGTGAGATCATGATTGGTGGGGAGGTTAAGCAGGAGGGGGATGGACAAAAAAACTCACAACACAAACGCCATTACGGCCGGCTCCAAGCCATATCAGCAAGTGTGTCCAACCAAACGTGTTCACCATCCTTAGGACCCCAGCCAGGCAGTCGGGATGCACCAACCGACGCCAACTTCGAAGTGAGGGTTTTCATTTCTCTCGACCAAGTCATCACTTGGCCTCCCCTCCTCCTCTTCCAACCGCACCCACAACGCGCAAACAAAGCACGTCGCGGGAGTCGGTGTGCTGGCATGCGTAACACGTGGCCCAGCCATCGCAGCCTGGTGCGTGATATAATGGTGCTGAGCGGTTCACTCGCTCTTCCTGCACCAAATACGCGACGTCGAACACGCTCATTGCTCACGCGGTGCTCCCACCAGACATGAGCTAAGCTGCGAAGGCAGCGATGATCGAATGTGACAAGCCTCTTTATGTCTGTCGACCTGATAGGCAGTTTCACAACCATATAGGAGAGTTGAACGGACCGCTGCGTAATAAACTCTGCCCTTCACGGCTAGAGTAATATCGCGTCTGTGCCACAGATGGCGGAGATTGGCAAAAGCACCTCGAGCTTTTGCTATACGGTTCGTAACCTCATCTTCAATCCCACGGGTGCTAATATAGCTGCCCAGGTACTTGAATTCCTGAACGACTTCTAGCAGATCACCACCATGCGTTAGCGCAGGGTTGGGTCCCTGCCAATCTTGGAGAAGTACTTTGCATTTCGATGGAGCAAAGCATAGCCCCAAACGATTGACAGCCAGTGCTAATCGGTCCAGTGCTCTTTGGCATCTTTGGGAGTTGTCACAAATAAAGGCAATATCGTCCGCATACTCCAAGTCAAGAAGTCGCTCACCAGGAAGTAGCTCCATACCTTCTAGGTCGTGCCCAGCGAACGCTGTTTCCATGACTTCATCAATAGCGAAGTTGAAGAGGAAAGGTGACAGCGGGCATCCTTGTCTCACACCGCTGGTGATACTGAAGGGTGGCGACAGTTTGCCATAAACTCTCACCCTGCCCGAACTATGCGCGTACAGCGCTTTGATAATGTTTACATATTTATCAAGCATACCTTTCGTCAGCAGACAGTCCCAAAGGGCACATCGATCGACTGAGTCGAAGGCACCTTTTATGTCAAGAAACACGACAACGGTGGGTCGCCAATAAACATGGCAGTGCTCCAACACTTGACGCAAGGTGAAGATGTGGTCGATGCAGCCCCAACCTCGACGAAATCCGGCTTGCTCTTCACGAATCTGGCTTTCACGAGTGCCAGTCAGTCTGTGGAGAATGATAGAGGCAAGCAATTTAGAGGCAATCGAAATCAGACTGATCCCTCTATGATTGCCACATTCTAGACGGGAGCATCCCTTGAAAATTGGGACAATGACGGAGCGGTTCCAGTCTGTCGGGACTGTCTCCTACTCCCAAAGTTTTACTAGCAACTCGTGTAGATCATCTACTAGAGCCGGTCCCCCGAATTTGAAGAGGGCTGGGGGAATTGTATCTGCTCCTGCGGCCTTATGCAATTTCAACAGCCTGATCTCACGTTCGACTTCTGCACGTGATGGCGGATCCAAGGAGACGGCCCAAGGAGAACGGCGCTCAATGCCCGAAGAAAAAAGCGATAACTCAGGTTTGTTAAATTGCCATGCAGTGCTCAGCCCAACGCTCCAAGCGTTTTGACAGGCTGTGGATCGGCTGTCCACTCTCGTCGCGTATGGTCTCGCTAACACCAGGTCTCCTACTGCCTGTTTCCCGTATCAGACGGAATAACTTACGATGATTACCAACGGCAGCGGCTGTTTCCATCTCAGAGGCACGATGAGACCACCAGGTTTCGCGGTCCTTCCTAAGGCTAGCACGTAGTTTTGCCCTGAGATTTTTGCGAGTATCATTGTATTCGCTTCCAGCCGGAATACGTCGGCCAGCATCCATAAGTTCCAGAGACTGTGTAGAGACCCAATGTCCGGTTTGGCAATTTGCTTTGCCACATGAAGACATGCCCGCTAACAGTAACGCTTGACGAATATGCGACCAGTGATCTTCAACGGTGTTTAGTGGGCGCTTACTCAGCCCAGATGTCAGCGCACTATGGTATACATTCAGAACATCTGGCTTCGCCAGCTGGCTGGTGTCAATCCGTTCACATCGACGTTGCGGACGTCCACCGAAACGCACCAGGAGGTCGGCACAGACAAGTGCATGGTCAGAGTCCACGCTCGTGCTCCAAATCGAGCGGCAGTTTTGGACACAGCCTCTCCAGCGGTAACTGATCGCGATATGATCGATTTGCGTCCATGGCTGGCCCGAGGCTGCTGGCCGCCAAGTCACACTTCGGCGGGTGCTGTGTCGAAAGTTAGTGCTAGCGAATAAAGAGGCGAGCA